ACGCCTCTGCTCAAAGCCCGCCAATGGCTCCCCAAACCACTGAACAGAAAGGCAAAGTCTTCTCATGGCCTGACAAATAAGGTCCCCATAACCTGACCTTTGTAGCCCCTATGACCTGAAATTAGCAGCCCCCCAGCATGCCCTTGGGCTCCCTCTGCTCTGATCCAACCTCCATTCGTTCCTGAAACAGGCCACTCTCCACTCTGCAAAGTTCATCCTTGCTACCCTTAGTGCCTACGGCGCCTTGCACTCTTCCCCTGGATAAAGGCAGAGCGCCAATCACCTCTAACACATTACATACTTTACTTGTTTATTTTCCTGTTGTCTGTCTCCCTCCACTCAAACATAAACTCACAGGGGGAGGGACTGGGTTTTGCTTTGTAGTGAATTCTTACAATTTTCTGTTGCCTCGTATCCATTTGGAACATATGTTTAACTTTCGTATACTGACACAGGGCTCAGTCACCCTTGACAGGGTTTCTGGTTCCACACCACACCCGGGTGGCACAAGCTGGTGGCCGAAGATCAGTACATAGACTGGGCTCCTTGCTTTTCCCACTTTCTTTCTCTTTTCTTTTTTTTTTTTTTGAGACGGAGTTTCACTCTTGTTGCCCAGGCTGGAGTGCAATGGCACGATCTCGGCTCACCGCAACCTCTGCCACCTGGTTTCAAGCGATTCTCCTGCCCCAGCCTCCACAGTAGCTGGGATTACAGGCATGCGCCACCATGTCTGGCTAATTTTGTATTTTTAGTAGAGATGGGGTTTCTCCATGTTGGTCAGGCTGGTCTTGAACTCTCAACCTCAGGTGATCCGCCCACCTTGACCTTCCGAAGTGCTGGAATTACTGGCATGAGCCACCGGGCCCGGCCGACTTTTCCCACTTTCTTTAAATGGAATATTCAGGCATTTGCCCTTGAATTCACAGTGACCCACACCCTATTTGCTTAATCTACAGCTAGGTGTCTCTCTGTGCCTGACTCTTCGTTCCTGCCTCGTGTGACCACGGACGGAGGACTGCCCTCCTGATCCACTGCGTGTTCCCTGCTCAGGATTTGAAAGTAAAAAATCGGCCAGGCATAGTGGCTCACGCCTGTAACCCCAGCACTTTGGGAGACTGAGGCAGGTGGATCACTTGAGGTCAGAAGTCAAAGACCAGCCCGGCCAACATGGTGAAACCCTGTCTCTACTAACAACACAAAATTAGCCAGGTGTGGTGGCGTGCACCTGTAATCCCAGTTACTCAGGAGGCTGAGGCAGAAGAATCACTTGAACCCAGGAGGTGGAGGCTGTAGTGAGCCGAGATCGAGATCGCGCCACTGCACGCCAGCCTGGGTGATAGAGTGAGACTTTGTATCAAAAAAAAAAAAAAAAAAAAAAAAGAAGAGGTAAAAAGTCTTTGAACTTGTTTCCATTGTAAGGGGGTGCTGAATTTGCACTTTCCATTGAAGAACCAGGGGCTGCCCCAGGCCGGTTTTCCCTGGTATGCCAGGGAGAGGACAAGGTCAGGTTCCCAGTGGCAGAGTAGTTGGTGGTCAGAGAAGTATAAACTGAACACACATCAGACAAGAGCTACAAGGACATCTGCCTATAAAAATACGTTTCCCACGTGAGGGACCCCTGCCAGGTACACCAGATGTATCTCGTGAGAAGCATACCATACCCACGTCCAGCTCCCCTGAATTTTCTGTTAGGACAGGGCTGCTAGCCACTCTGGTACTTTGCACCCCAGGGTAGCTAGGGGCTCTCCAAACAGTCTTATTCTTGCAATAGTCCCAACAGTTATAAAACTATCTGGCACCTAGGAGCTCAGTAAATATTGACTGAATGGGTGGCTCCTGAACCTGGCCAATAATGGTATGTCTGATTCTTTCTGCTAAGAATGGGTGGTTCTGAAAATCTTCCAGCTGCTAATGCAGGCTGGGGAAAGGTGCAAACCACTGACATGGGAGGGAAGTATCTGCTACTTAGCTGAAGTCGAGCTCAGGGAAGATGGGGACATCTCTAAGAGGCTTCTTCTGGTAGAGGCTGAGGATGGGTCTAAGTCCTTAAAAAGGCTTCTTCGTAATTCTCCCAGTAATGAATTTAGGAACAAGGGGCTTTCACAGCGCGCCACAAAGGAATCTAGTCTACGTGTGATCTGACCAAGAGCCACTGCAGCCCCAGACAACCAGGTGTTCTCAGAGAGAAAAATTAGCCAGGCCACATTGTATCAACATCACGCCAACTGTTTACAGGGAAAGATGTCAACGACAATTGCCTTTATGAAGGACACTCTCTCTCGGATCGGAACATTCTACATTTATGGGCCTAACAGGCTTTCTTCCTATTCCATGACCTGGCTTCTGATAGTTCGGTTTAGAAAAACGATCACACACACACGAAAGTGATACAAAATAGGGACATATGGAGAAGAGATGAGCTTACTTATTTTCTTTTCATCTCTGTACTTTTCCAGAAAAATCAGGGTGGGCATGGGAAAACCTCTGATGTTTTGTACTCCTTTGCTGGTGATAGATAAACACGCAATGCACTCTGCCTTGTTATTGAGTTCCTTGAAGGCAGGTGCTGTGTTCTCAACAGCTTTAGGTAACAACAGCCTCTAATGTATTCCTCTTCACAGTGGGGGCCTACCAAATGCTAGAAATAAACCAACAAAAGAACGAACAAATAAAATGCAGCCCATTAACTCAGCTCCTTGCATTCAAATTTACCTTGTCCCTGTCCTGACCTTGGCCCATATACCCTGCTCAGCCCCAGGAGCTGCCTTGAATCTGAGAGTCCTCCAAATCAAGTCCTTGGGCCAGCTAGGGGAGCAGCAAGAGCTCTGGTGCCTTCCCTTGAATGGATGATATCAGCATATTTAAAATAACCATGATAATTCATGTTGTTATTGGCTATAGAGCTCCACTAGCACTATAGCCATTGCAAGCTGCAAGAGAATAAACGTGATTTCCTAGCTACATTTTCTGATGACCTGTTCTGGTGACTATGGTGGTTATACTTATCCAACAGAGACTTACAGCTCTAACTGCATGGTGCAGGTGGCGTATTTTTGGAAAAAGACTCTGAGATGGAAGTCAGCATACAAGAGGTTTATTAGAGAGAGCTCTTGAGAACAGCACCTATGAAAGGGAAGGGGAAAGCAGGACTAGGCAGAGGGGAAAATCGACCTGTGAGGCAGTCTCTGAGTGTAGCAGATGATCCTGCAGGATCTCATGTCCATCAGTCATTCCACGACGTGTGGCGTCCCGGGAAGGGGTGTGGCCACAGGCATGGCCACTCACTTCAACTAAGGCAACTGCAGAAAGGGCTAATGCTGGGGAGCCCCTTCTGCAGGGACTACTCCCAGCAGCTGGGGTAATAAGGTCTTTATTCCCAAAGGAGAATGTGGGAGTCTAGTGCATACGACCACCATTCTCACCCGATGAGACAGAGCACAATTAGGAGCTCCTCCGTGACACCTTCCCAGCTACCTTCTCTAACCCCCTCTAGGAGAGGTGACAACTCTCACTGCGCCCTCATTACTCATCTCCTTATTTGCAGAGCCAGCCGTAGTGCTTGACACCCAGTAGGGATGCAATAAACGCCGGTTGAAGAAATGCATCACTGAACACTCAACATCAGCATAAAGAAATGAATAAAACACCATGTAATTATAGAAAAACTGCCCCTCGTGAGTTCCCTGTGATCAGAAAGAGGAAAACAAAGCAGACGCGATAGGGGAACTTGAAAAGGGTAGCGGATGGAAGCCAAGACACAGGCACTCTGATCTCAACTCTGGGAAAAGCCTGCATCCTTCTGAGCTTCCGTTTCTTTCTTTATGAAACAAAAGGACACGTCCACGCGTTCTATGAAGATTAGAGAGCTGTGACATACTCAGTTTCAACAGGTGTCCTAAATGAGGTCATTGCCAGTGTCATTACTGACATGAATAAGAAAAGTAAATTTTGATCCCGGTAAGGGAAAGAGTCCCGGGGATCACAATGTCATTCCCATGATTTGGTGAAGACTTTCCTCAATTAGCCCAGAGCTCAGACGCCCTGAGAAGGAAGCAGGGAGTGACCGGGGCAGGCAAGGAAGTTCACTCTCTGTTCGTGAATAGAAACAGAAACCAACAGGAATATCCTGTGATTTATGAAAATGCTGGGATTTTAAATCATTAAGTAGTATCTTGCTTTCATAGCATATGGAGCTAACAGGAATAGCAGAAGGCATTTTAAACACAGAACGGGCCAGTGTGCAATTAAAAAAAAAAAAAAGTAAAAATTTCACTGTTGAATTTCTTTCTCAATGTACTCATCCAATATAGAAGAATTTTTAAAATCATATAATTTTTAAAAAGACAGCTGGGAGAGGGGTATTAAAATAACAGCCTGAGATTTGTGCTAACCTGCCACTTCTCTCACATATCCATGCCACAGTTAATACACCTAACGAGCTCACGATTTCCCACTAGGTACCCTCCTATACCTCGAGGCTGTGACGAGAGTTACAATGATAGCTATAAAGAAACCCACCAGACTAGACAGGATGTCTTGTAAAGCCAAACACATACATCTCCTTAAAATGATAAACCACAACGTTAATGAAAGCAAAAGCTGTAAGAACATTTTCAAAAACTCTGGAATCAATACTCATCTCTACTACCTCACAGGCTTTCCTGGCAATTAGACTATCCGTGGATAAAAAGAAAACAATGAACGCAAGTCCGGACACCAGTATGTGAACACTCCACTATCTGCATACGAAATACACACATTTGATATTCATCTGTTAAAAAATCTTCATTTACTAAAGAAATGTAAACACGTTTCTGTTTCACTCTGTTATTTTTCAAATCCAAGCAGAGCGGATATTGAACCATATTTGTAATTCCTTACCCACCGCATTAGCACGACCTCATTTGAGGTGACCTCACCTTTTTTAAAGAATCAACCCCTATTCTTGGCAAGCTGATACCTACAAGGATATTGGGAAGAAGCAAATGGGCTACCATTACCTTTGAACTTGTGGAACACAGCCCACAGCTCCGCAATGTCGGTGGCAAAGGTGATATCCGTGTCAAGGACGATGACTCTCTCCAGGTTGGCAGGAAGAGTCTTGGTCAGCACAAGCTTCATCAGACCATAAATCCCAGAGTAATGTTTATTGGGGATCCAGGAAACTTCAGACTAGACAGAACAAGGCAGAGAGGGAGTTGGAGAAAGGGAAAAAAAGAGAAATCGCTATATTAATTCTTTGCTTAAACATCATAAATAGGGCCTAACACACAAAAAGTATCCAATACAAATTTGTTGAATAAATGAATGAGTTTTCTTTTAAAGATTTATATAATTTGCATTTTGACATGTGAAGTTTTCTGGAGGAAAATGTATCTGAATTAAGGGAGAGGAAAAGTAATAGTTGTGAAATAATTATTACTGCAAATCCTATGTTGAGATTTTTAAATAAAACTTTTGTTATTATAGAAATAAAATAGATCCACTAGAGAAAAAAAGGATATGCAAAAACATAAAGGTCCAAAAATGGAATCCCATTACATATACTTTTGCAACCAATATCGAATTGTTCCTATGTACATATATTTCTTTAAATCATATTCCATTTATGTGTCATTAAAGATTAGTGGGTAATGGTATTGTTAAAGCTTATGCTTATTCTTTTAAAACTGTAATCGAATAGATTGCTACTGCTGCCTTCTCTTTATTCTCAGATAAACTCACAAGGAGGACCTAGTCATCATGCAACACTCTTCACCTGACAGCAATAGAGGACACACACATAGAACAGAAATGAACCACCCATGAAGCACTGACATTATGATCCTCACATAATATAATGGAACAATCAATGGCTCGCAGATGGGCAGAGTCATCAGCGAGGCACACACACGGGTGCCATTTTGTGTCCAAAGGCAAGGATAAAAATAAAAGCACCAGAGTGATGAAAGCTCTCATATATGCACAGTCATTTATGAAGATCATCGTGGGCAGAGGCCCCAACCTGGCTGCTGTGGGGAGTTTCCATGGGAGCCAAAGTACACTTATTTTCAAGAGGGTAACCCTTTTAATAGAACCCTTTAAAATGGGGGAATATGGCCACCTTACCAGGATTCCAAAAAATATTCATCTCCTTTGACCTTACCTTTGACCATGTTGAGGAGATGTTCGTTAAAAAATTCAGATTTAAAAATTTTGTTTAAGACACCAAAGATGTTCCTCACCATGTTACCAAAGGGCAGCCATCAAAATGCCCCAAAATGGAACAATTAATTCAGACATGATACTCTTTTTTTTTTTCTGATAGCATCCTATGTAATTGTTTAAAACAAAGTGGATTAAGATGTAGTTTCTAAAAACCTACATATGATGTTAAAGGGGAAAAAAACAAGCTTTAAAACTGCTTTTACTTAAAAGCAACTATGTGTAATAAAACCAAATGAAACACATTCACCCACATTTTATGCAGAGAAAGAAAAAATAGCATCAAGACATCCAACTGTGTCTGGAGTTGGTTCCTTCTGGTGGGTTCTTGGTCTTGCCGACTTCAAGAATGAAGCTGCGGACCTTTGTGGTGAGTGACACAGCTCTTAAAGGGGGTGCAGACCAAAAGAGTGAGCAGCAGCAAGATTTATTGTGAAGAACGAAAGAACAAAGCTTCCACAGCTTGGAAGGGAACCCAAGCAGGATGCCGCTGCGGCTGGGGTGGCCAGCTTTTATTCCCTTATTTGTCCCCGCCCACATCCTGCTGATTGGTCCATTTTACAGAGTGCTGACTGGTGTGTTTACAATCCTTTAGCTAGACACAGAGCACTGATTGGTGCGATTTTACAGAGTGCTGATTGGTGCATTTACAATCCTTTAGCTAGACACAGAGTGCTGACTGGTGCGTTTTTACAGAGTGCTGATTGGTGCACTTACAATCCTTTAGCTAGACACAAAAGTTATCCAAGTCCCCACTCGACCCAGGAAGTCCACTGGCTTTACTTCTCATCAGTTTCAAGAAAAAGCATCCCTAACTCTGTGTATGAGACCCTGTCACCTTACACCCAGGCATCATGGAGGAGGGGAAAAAGGACAGGAGTTCAAATCTGGGCTCTAGCCCCACAGAGCATTTGATCTCTCTAAGCTTTGGTTTCTTTACCTGTAAAATGGAGTGTGTTTTAGAGATGGAATGGGTCTCATGAGTCAGCATGGGGAGCCTGTCTCACAGCTTCCCTAAATCGGCCTCCTGTGTGCCTGTTTTCCCACCATCACCAGACTATGACATGTTTGAAAACAATGTGGTTACTTAGTTTTTCTTTTAAGAGTAGTTGCTCATTTTTAAAAGTTGGTAAAATGGAGATGATGCCTACTTCACACGGTGGTATAAAAATTAAAGGATATTAAAGGACTCAAGGGCCTGGTACCCACCCTTCTTCCTGATCCCTCTATCTTATTCCAAGTATTTAGATATCAATGCTTCTTTCAGTACTTCCTGATGAAGGTAAGGGTCTCCAGGATGTATGCAGGAGAGCAAAAAACCGAGGTGGCAGAGTCAGACATGCCTGGATTTAGATTCTAGTATCATCACTTAATCGCCATGTCACCTTGGACAGGTTTGCTCAGCTTGTCTGAGTTTCTGCTACTTATAAAGGTCATCCCTCCTTTTTTAAAAAAATTTTAAGTTTAGATTCTGGGGGTACACACGCATGTTTGTTACATGAGTACACTGTGTAATGGTGGAGACTGGACTTCCAGTACACCTGTCACCTGAATGTTGAACATTGTATCCAGCAGGCAATTTTTCACCCCTTACCCAGCTCTCACCCTTTCTTCTTTTGGAGACCCCAGTGTCTATTATTTCCAACTTTGTATCCATGTATGCCTATTGTTTAGCTTCCACCTGTAAGTGAGAAAGTGTGATATTTGATTTTCTGCTTTTGAGTTAGCTCGCTTAGGATAATGGCCTCCAGCTCCATCCTTGTTGCTACACTGACTTCATCCTATCATGCAGGGTGTGGGTGGAAACAGCACACTCTCCTGGGGAATCTAAGGAAGATTTAATAAAAGGACTACTTAGTCTAAGTATATGCAGAATTAGAGGCAGTTTAACACGAACTGTGCAGTTACTAGAGGATGGGAAGAGTACTTGGGGCCATTACTACCCCAAGGCCAAAAGGGTCTAGGCCAACAGATGCTGGAATCCAGAGAGAACTGCTGTATGAGTAAGGCCACCTGGCTGAGGCAGTGACCTTCAGCAGAGGGACACAGCCTACCTGTGGCAACCCATAAGCCAGAACGGGAAAAAAACATCACAATGTCAGTCTCCTCCTGCCCACCAGTATCCCGGGAGGGCAGCCCTCTGGTCAACCCTAATGGAAACCAGAGCGAAAGTGAGATTAGAGATGCTTTATGCATCAGCCTCATGAAGCATAAAGTGAGGGTTAGGGCAAGAGAGCACCTAGAAGGAAAAAACTCACACAACCAACAGAGTCATACCATTAACATAAGGACAAATTAAATGAACAACAACAAAATCAAAGCACAATGCCTTGGCCCAGTGCAGTGGCTCACGCCTGTAATCCCAGAATTTTAGGAAGCTGAGGCAGGTGGATCACCTGAGGTCAGGAGCTTGAGACCAGCCTGAACAACATGGAGAAATGCCATCTCTACTAAAAATACAAAATTAGCCAGGTGTGGTGGCACACACCTGTAATCCCAGCTACTTGGGAGGCTCAGGCAGGAGAATCGCTGGAACCTGGGAGGCAGAGGTTGCATTGAGCAGAGATCACACCATTGTACTCCAGCCTGGGCAACAAAAGTGAAACTCTGTCTCAAAAAAAAAAAAAAAAAAAGCACAATGTCTTGTATATAATAGGTACAAAACACATTTCTGGAACAGATGGATGGATGGATGGATGGATGATGGATGGATGGATGGATGAATGGATGATGGATGGATGGATGATGGATGAATGGATGGATTAATGGATGATGGATGAATGGATGGATAGATGGATGGATGGATGAATGGATGGATGGATGGATGATGGATAAATGGATGGATGGATGGATGGATGATGGATGAATGGACGGATGAATGGATGGATGAATGGATGATGGATGGATGGATGGATGATGGATGAATGGATGGATAGACGGATGGATGGATGAATGGATGATGGATGAATGGATGGATGGATGGATGATGGATGAACAGACGGATGGATGATGGATGGCAGGCAGGCATAGGAAGGCAGGCGATTTGTCTACAATCCCACAGCAAGCAAGATGCAAAGCTCTAAGAGTCACAGTTTGCCAGGAGAAGGTTTGTGTTCTTTCCCCAAACTACATTATCCTTCCTTTGGAGTGAGATTCCTGACTAGCCATCACGGTAGGATCCGAGGACTCAGTGAGGAATTCCCTCCCATATGCTTTGTAAACATCTTCCTCATGAAAGCCCTGGCCTTTGGGGCTCAGCTCAGCCTCCTCTCTCCTCTAACAATCTGCCTGAACTGAGGCTTGGCAATCATCAGTCCATGCTGCAGGGCTGTGCTATTTAATCAGACCTTTGATTAACTTACTCATCTATTTTGGTTACCATCAAAGCAGGAGAGCTGGGTGAAGACTGAACACCAGAGTGATGGGTTAAGCTGTCTAATTAGATTGCCCTGACTCTCCGTTTTATTTTTAACACGCATGTGAGGCACTCAGTTACACTGCAAAACAGGAAGACTACAGGAATAAATTAATCTCAACATGAGCCCAGTCCTGAACGTCGCTCCAAGTCCCCAACTTAATGCATAATCAATTAAGTCCGAGTGTTCAATTAGTCATAAAGGAGGCAATGGGATGAGTTTGTATTCAGAAAGAAAGCCCCAGGAAAAGGTGGAAAATTAAGAAATTTTGTGGAGGGGAAAGAACGTGTGGTAAGAAGCAGGTACATTTATTACGAATAGCTCAGCCTCTTAGAGACAGCGTGATATCTAGCACACTCTTCCCCCACCTCCGTCCATACTCTCCTCCACCAAGTCTCAACTTAGAAATCACTGCTTTCCAGCCACCACCACCCCCACAGCCCCAGGCTGGATTAGGGGCTCCCAAAGCAAGAAGCAAGCTGTTTCCCTTCCTCTAGCACAGCATGTTATCCTGCTGGGTTCAATTTTCCATGCCCCTCTCCTGCACTTGAC